AGGTTTAAAAAAAAAAAAATTGAGGCTCTGCAAAGAGAAGTGATTTGTCCAAATTCAGCAAGTCAGATTAAGGGTGATGAATGGAACTTCTGTTACCTAATGGCTTCCAGGTTTGACTGGGATTAAGGAAAATGAAATCATAACAATTTTTCAGTGAATAAAGAAGCATCCTGGCTGGGCATGGTGGCTCACACCTATAATCCCAGCACTTTGGGAGGCCAAAGTGGGAAGATCACTTGAGGCCAGGAGTTCAAGACCAGCCTGGGAAATGTAGTGAGACCCCATTTCTACAAAAAAAAAAAAAATTTTTTTTAATTAGCTGAATGTGGTAGTGTGCACCTGTAGTCCTCGGTACTCTGGAGGCTAAGACAAGAAAATCACTTGAGTCCAGAGGTTCGAGGTTACAGGGAGCTATGAATACACCACTGTACCCCAGCCTGGGTGACAGAGTGAGATCCTGTCTCTAAAAATTTAAATTAAAAAAAGCAGCATCCCCAACATCCTGAGTGTCTTGCTGCTGTATTGTACTTGCCATACCATACTGTCAACATCTGCTTATCCACACACAGCATGGCTTTCCCAGTAGGTGGTATGAGAACCAGGAAAGGCAGAGAGCTGAGTTCAGTTGGAAGGCTCATTCAGTTGGAAGGCTCATTCAGATGGAAGGCTCCAAGGGGATCATGGTAGAAAGGGGTGGCTAGGAGCTACTCAGACATCTGGAAGACAGGCAGAAAGCATCTCAGCAGGCAGCTGCCTGAGACAGATCTAAGAAGACAGGTCACTTGCACAGTGGCACGTGCAGAATCACATTTGTAAGATAAGCATCAATCAAATCTTTCCTCTATTTTGTGACAGTCATATAAAATGATAGAGCTGTCTCCATGACAAGCAATACAGATGAAGGCCCAGGGACCATCTGGGAAGTCATCCCTGTCCCAGGCTGGAGGAAAGAAAGAAATGGCTCCTCAAAGGGTGGCTGTGAAAAACAAATAACCCTTTCAGTCTGATAGGCGGCAAAAATAAGCACTTAAGGAAGAAGCCAACTTCAGCTAGGAAAGATGGGGGAAGAGGAGAGAGCCCTAAAATCCAGAGAGAAGAGATCAGCTCAATAAATGGAGTGAAGAAATAAATGAAGGAACTTCCCTTTTTCCCTTGTATTGGAAAGAACACGAGACTGAGTCCAAGAGACCTGGCATTTGAAAGATAAGCCATGGCTCTTTCAGTGGTTCTGTAAACTTATGTAAATCACACTCTGGGCCTCAGTTTCCTCATCTGTAAAAGGAGTTCATAAAATAGCTTCCTGGCAAAACCGTTGCAAAAATTAAAACCAGTATATGGGGCCGGGCGCGGTGGCTCAAGCCTGTAATCCCAGCACTTTGGGAGGCCGAGGCGGGTGGATCACAAGGTCGAGAGATCGAGACCATCCCGGTCAACATAGTGAAACCCCGTCTCTACTAAAAATACAAAAAATTAGCTGGGCATGGTGGCGCGTGCCTGTAATCCCAGCTACTCAGGAGGCTGAGGCACGAGAATTGCCTGAACCCAGAAGGCGGAGGTTGCAGTGAGCCGAGATCGCACCATTGCACTCTAGCCTGGGTAACAAGAGCGAAACTCTGTCTCAAAAAAAAAAAACAAAAACCAGTATATGGGAGGGTGCTTTGTAAACCCCTTATTTTTTGTTTTGTTTTGGTTTTTTGGTCTCCATGCTTACTGGTTTCTTCTAGCAAGTCATCCTGAGTAGTGGAAATAGTTTGGGGTTCCAAATCAAACAAACTAGATTCAGTTACCAGCTCTATCATTTATTACCTATGAGACCTTGGCAAGAAATTTTACATGATTAAGAAAGTTTCCTCATTCATAAAACAAGCATTCTTGGGAAAATTATAGGTAATGCGGGTAATACATCTAGAATAGTACAGTAATTTCTTGGCATAGGCAAGAGATTGGTTCCAAGACCCCCATATATACAGAAATCCACACCTACTTAAGAACCACAGTTGGCCCAGTGGAACCCACCTAGACTAAAAGTTGGCCCTCTGAATATACAGACTTCACCTCCCTCCACTACTGTATTTTCTTCTCTTTTTCTTCTTTTTAAAGAGATGAATGTCACTCTGTCTCCCGAGGTGGAGTACAGTGGCCTGGTCATAACTCATTGTAGCTTCAAATTCCTGGGCTCAAGCAATCCTTCTACCTCAGCCTCCCAAGTAGCTGGGATTACAGGTTCAAGCCACTGTGCTTGACCCAGCAAGCTGTTTTTTTTCTTAATTTTTTTTTTTAGAGACGGGGGTCTTGCTATGTTGCCCAGGCTGGAGTGCAGTGGCTATTCACAGGCACTATCCCACTACTGATCAGCACGGGAGTTTTGGCCTGCTCCGTTTCCGACCTGGGCCGGTTCACCCCTCCTTAGACAACCTGGTGGTCCCCTGCTCCCGGGAAGTAACCATATTGATGCCGAACTTAGTGCGGACACCTGATTGGCATAGCACACTACAGCCCAGAATTCGGTGGGCTCAAGCGATCCTCTCACCTCAGCCTCCCTAATAACTGGGACTACAGGCATGTGACACCGCGCCCAGCTACCATGGTATTTCTTAATCAGTGTTTGGTTGAAAAAAAATTGGGAAGATCAAGTTCACAAACGTTCTAGAGGAATAAAAAATGAAATAAAATAATAATAAAAAATAAGAAAAAAAATGGGGTATAAGTGGACTTGCACAGTTCAAACCCATGCTGTTCAAAGGTCAGCTGTATACACAATAGAGCAGGGGCTCAATAAATGTAATTCTCTGTCTTCCTACATGGAGCATTTCAGCAAGGATAAGAAGAAAGTTGGGCAAATGTGGACCTCGCCTTCCTACCTAAAGCCATACTCTACTTTTCTAATTCAATCTGTCTTAAGACCATTCCCCACTGCTGACCCATCACCACCTTCACTGTTTTCCCAGGTCTCTTAGAGCTACAGAAACAGTATCATAATAGCTACCATTTGTTGAGCACCTACTAAATGTCAAGCATTCTACATGGTGCTTTCAATGCATTCCATCTCACACACAACAGATGCTTGATATTCATTTCCTTCCTCCTCCAGCTTGGAATGAGATAGCCATAGGTGTGTCCACTGACAGAACGGAGACACACCTGCAGAATAACATCAGTGGGTTCTCTCTTTGTACAGTGTTTTACAGTTTACAAAGTTCTTTTCACCCACATTATCCTATTTGATTCTCACAACAACTCCTGGAGTGGATGAAGAAATTGAGGCAGGAGCACCACCACAGCTCAATTATTTATTAAATTAACATTCACTAAGCACCTACTATGCACCAGACCCTGTGCTATACTTTGGGGAGACAGAGAGAAACCCTAAGGACTTCAAGCTTAGAGGGGAAACCTATTTAAAGATTTTCTGTATGTTACTGATGCCTCCCTTCATGTCACAATCTTTAAGAAACTGAAGGTTTATTTCTTGGACTGGAGATGCTTTTAGATTTTTGCCTTTTCCCATACGGTTTCTTCTGATAGGAACACTCTTTCCTCCACTACTAGCTAAATCCTTCATGACCAGGAAGTCTTCCCGGACTCACCCACCTCCCCCACAATGCCTCTTCTCTGGCTCCCACAGCACCAGGGTTTTCCACTTCTATAGATAGGGCCTTTTATGGCTTCCATTGTCTTCCTCTGTTTATAGGCACAGAGCAGGTGAGCACCCACCAGCTTCCATTGTCTTCCTCTGTTTATAGGAACAGAACAGGTGGGCACCCACCTGTGCCCGCCCCCCCCCCACACACACACCCTCTCCTTTTACCGACTTCCACCCTTTTCCATCTGGATTCCAGGAAGCTGAGGGAAGAGGGCCCATTTTTCTCCCACCCCTTCCACATCTCTCTTAGCTTCCAGAGGCTGCTGCCCTGCCCTCCCCAAAGTTCCTTCCATGCTTGGACTCCAGAACAGAGTTGGCCTGTGGATGAGTTTTTCTGTCCAAAATTCTTTTCTTTTCTGTGATCCCGGGTGCCAATGTAACAAGGTCTAGTGTCTGTGTCCCCTTGTCAGACTCCTGAGTGGCCAAGACACCGCTAGTGTCTGGGCTCCACTCAAGCCTCCATTATCTTTTCACCCTTACACCACAACCCACACCTGGCGTCTTCCCTAGCCTGACCCAGTGCCCCACCACCCTGAACTCTTCAAGTTCTCTCACGATTCCTCCACTTGCAGCCACCAGACCCTACCCTATTCCAGTCTCCTTCCCAGTCCTGACCAGAATATAGGCCCTGTGTCCATTTCCAAGGCCACTGTCCTCTTATCTCCACGGGCTCACCGCCCCCTTCCTCTGCAGCGGGGTAGACCCAGCCTGGCCTCTCACCCTTTTATTCTCCCAAGCCCCACCCCTCGCCCTCCATCGACGGACCCCTGGGCTCCAGCTCCGACCCCAGCTATCCATACCCACATCCCCCACAAATGACCCTATTCCGACCAGACACTCCCCAGCTGCCCAGCGCCCCTTCCCTTCGGCACCTCAGGCCCCTCCAGCTCCAAACGACCCCCGCAGAGCCAGTCCCCTCCCCTCAGCTCCTCACCTCCACGCCTCCCCAACGCCCCGCCGCTCCCCCTCCCCCGCTCCAGCTCCCCTCAGTCCTCTCCCTTCGTCGCCCCCTTTGCTGTCCCTCGGCTGCCCGGTACCCCCTTTCCGCACAGCCCCTCTACGCCCTCCTCGCGGCTCCCACGCCCCCGTTTCCCCCCGCGATCCCTCACTGCCCTCCAGCCGCTCCTCATCTCTCCCCTCCGCCCCAGCGCGGTCTTTCTCGCTGCCCTGCCGCCCTTGGAGCTCCTTCGGCTGCCCCCACGGTCCCGGAGGCCCCCCGCTCTCCCTGCCGAGGCGAGCCCCCTCCCTCGCGCCTCCCCCGGCTCCCCTCCGCTGCCCCGCGCTCCTTCTCAGCGCCCAGCGCCGAGACTCGGTCCCTTTTCCTCCGCGGGCTGGCTGCCGGGGCCGCGCCCCTTACCGTGGACTCCGAGTGCGGGACGACGGGTTCGCCCTCGGACGGTCGGCGGGACGGCAGGACCTGGCGGCGGGAGGGCGCGGCGGCGGCCGGGGCAGGGCGCCGCGCGGGGCTGCGAGCGGGTCGGGTCCAGTCAGCACAGCGGCGCCTGAGGGCTGAGGGCTGAGGCTCCGGAGCTGCTCGACTCCGGCCGCATCCAGGCCCCGCCCAGGGGCGGAGTCTGCGTTGGCCCCGCCCTGGCCCTCAACTCCTGGCAGGTGTAAGGAATCCGAGATGACTCAGGACCCCCAGATCCCTCATATCTGTGTGATTATAGTAATTTATCTTAATTGTCATGCCTCGTTCCATTGACTGCACTTACTAGGGTGATCAGAGAGCTTTGATGATAATGTAGCTGATGATGGGTAGCAGTTTTGCCATTTCCACGCTGCTTTCTGGTCCGTTCTATCATTCTGCCTTCACAAAAGCCCAGGGAGGGAGGCTGACTACAAGCGGAAACGAAGCCAGAAACCTGGACGCTGTCCTCTACCCTATCTGTGCTTCCTTCACACCCCACATCCCACCACCTTAACATATCTCTGCCCTTCCTCTGTGTCTCCCTTGCCCTTATTCTAACTCCAGCATCATCACTTCTTGCTTGTACTAATGCAACAGCTTCCTAATTCCTGCCTTCAATCTCTAATTCATCCTAAAAATCCAGGAGGTGGGTTAGCATGGCCATTTCCACCCTTGCACAAAAATTCTTTCTCCTGGGCTCTCCAGTCATACCACCCACCACCCCTCCTCATTACTGACACCCAGTTGCTACTTACACATTAAAGATTGCAGCCCCTGGCTCATGGTCATTCTCACTAGCCTCTGTCCTGCCATCCTCGTGGTGCTTCAGTAGCTATGGGATTTCCTGGTCCCATTCATTCTGAGTGAGATACCAAAACCATTTTTATACAAGCCCAAGCAACCCTTTAAAATGTCATCATGGCTGGGTACAGTGGCTCATGCCTATAATCCCAGCACTTTGGGAGGCCAAGGCAGGTGGATCACTAGATCAGGAGTTCAAGACCAGCCTGACCAACATAGTGAAACCCCGTCTCTACTGAAAATACAAAAGAAAATAGCTGGGTGTGGTGGCATGTGCCTGTAATCTCAGTTACTCAGGAGGCTGAGGCAGGAGAATCGCTTGAACCCAGGAGGTGGAGGTGGCAGTGAGCCAAGATCGCACCACTGCACTCCAGGCTAGGTGACAGAGTGAGACTCTGCCTCAAAATAAATAAACAAAAATAAAAAATAAATAAAATGTCATCATGTTACCATCAACCTTGTTTTAAAAAACTCTCAGCTGGGTGCAGTGGCTCACACCTGTAATCCCAGCACTTTGGGAGGCCAAGGCAGGCAGATCACTTGAGGTCAGGAGTTCGAGACCAACCTGGCCAACATGGTGAAACCCTGTCTCTACTAAAAACACAAAAGTTAGCCAGGCATGGTGGCACATGCTTGTAGTCTCAGCTACTCAGGAGGCTGAGGCAGAATTGCTTGAACCCGGGAGACAGTGGTTGCAGTGAACTGAGATCACTGCACTCCAGCCTGGCCAACAGAGCAAGACTCTGTCTCAAAAAAAAAAAAGCAAACAAACAAAAATCCCAATCGTTTCCCATTACTAGGAGGCTATCAACAGGAGTGGGAAAATGTTCTTGTGTGGCCCTAGGAAGTCCCAGTTCTACCAGAGAAGGCAGATACAGGAGGCAATTAACAACTTGTCTGTACTTTTTCACCATTTGGGAAGAAACATTAAAACAAGTTAAATGATAAAAACAAACAAACAAAGAAAACGCATGCTATGCTGAACTGCTCCCTCACTCCCTTCCTCCCACAAGGCCCTAGTTTCCTCATTTCAAAATAGATAAGATGATAATGATTATTCTTTCTTCCCAGGAATAATGAGATAGCTTATAGAGCCATCCTTTTAAAGTTGTGAGACAATGTAAGAACAGATGGTACTGCTTTTATGTAGCCTCAGTTCTTCTGGTTGCTTTCTCCTTCTCCCTCCCCTGAAAGGCAGTGTAGTAAATTAGAAAGGGCACACACAGGCTCGGGGCCAGGCAGACCTGATCTTCGGTCCTTGCTTGCTGTGTGATCTTATGCCAATCACCTCATTTCTCCCGCACGCACATCCCTTCCTCATTGTAGAAACAGCAATAATGAGAGCTCCTTCTTAGAGTTGTCGGGAAGATCAAATGAGAACACAAGCTACTGGAGAGCACTTGATAAAGTTCTAGGCATACGGTAAGCATTCAATAAATGGGAAATACTGCGGTTCTTAGGAAAAAAAAAAAGTGCTATTTTTAACCACAACTGCCTTCCAGGAATGACAGATCCCAGTGCGCAGAAGGTCCTTTTGTCCTGCTTGGGACCTCAGTTGATAAGTGTGAATATGTAAGTTTGGGAGAAGAAGAAAAATCAAATTGCTGTTTATGTTTTAAAAAGGGGTGGAGTAGGCAGGGCGTGATGGCTCACACTGGCAATCCCAGCACTTTGGGATCACCTGAGGCCAAGAGTTTGCGATCAGCCTGGCCAACATGGTGAAATTCTGTCTCCACTAAAAATACAAAACTTAGCCAGGTGTGGTGGCGGGCACCTGTATTCCCACCTACTCAGGAGGCTGAGACAGGAGAATCACTTGAACCTGGGAGGCGGAGGTTGCAGTGAGCTGCGATTGTGTCACTGCGCTCCAGCCTGGGTGACAGAGTAAGATTCCCATCTCAAGGAAATAAGGAATGCGGGGGTTGGAGGGGAGGAGAATTTGGAATTCACTTGACAAAATGGGAGGGCAAGTTAATAGACAGAGACGGGAGGAGGAAAGGAAAAACATGAGTAAGAAAATCAATGTAGCCCTAGAATGACGCGAAGACTCCACTCCCCCGCGGCCCGCCCGCCCGCCGGCCTAGCCGCCGCCTCCCTCGCTTCCTGAGCGCGCCAGGCGAGGGCCAGCTGCTGGGGCGACGCGGGGCGGAGAGGGCGGGCGGGCGCGCGGGCTGTGGAAGCGCCGGTCTCTACATGGCGGCGGCTCTGTCGGGCCTGGCTGCCAGGCTCTCGCGCTCGGCCGCCGCCCGCTCCTATGGGGTCTTCTGCAAGGGGCTGACTGGTACGCTGCTCATCTTCTTCGACCTGGCCTGGCGGCTGCGCATCAACTTCCCCTACCTCTACATCGTGGCTTCCATGATGCTCAACGTCCGCCTGCAGGTTCATATTGAGATCCATTGAAGGCCCTCCTGGACTGACAAAGGTGTGACCTCAGGCCCATCCCATCCAAGAACACGAAGCATGAGGGACAGAAGAGGGCCCCTTGGCACCAGCCTGGCACCAGTGCAGCGGGCTGGAGGAGGTGATTTGGACAAACTATTACACAGCCTCAAGAAAAGAATGCTGAAGGAGGGCCCCTGGCCTGCAGATGCACCCTCCTGGATCAATAAGCCTGCAGTTGACAGAAATTCACAGAGTGCTGCATTATCATTGGAAATGAGAAAGGATCCTAGCGGGGCTGGCCTCTGGCTTCACAGTGGTGACCTAGTGCTTCCACATGTGAAAGAATCAATAAGAAGAAATCTAGCCTCAGTAGCTGCTCCGAGCGCAGCCATGGGTTTGTTCTCTGCTCCAACAGAGTATTTTGCTGGGATGTCCTGCAGTGGTGTTGAAGCTCTGAGGTGGGACTGGCTGGGAGGAGGGCCCGAAGCCACCAACGGCCACAGAGGACAGTGCCCCAAAGGAGAGCCTCGGGTGTCAGGACTGCCACACCATCAAAAACTGGAAATGGGAAGTTGTCAGGATGACCCACCAAGTGCTTTTCCCAAGGGTCTGGGCTCTGAGCTGGAACTCTCTTGCTTGCAATCCATCCTGCCTGCAGTGCTGCACGTGTTTCTAGAAGTGCTCCTGAATGATGAGACAGAACGAGTTTTCCTTGACGGTTTAAAGCCCATGTTTTCAAAGCAAACAACAGAATTCAAGAAAATGCTTAAAAGCACCTCAAGGCCGGGCGCGGTGGCTCAAGCTTGTAATCCCAGCACTTTGGGAGACCGAGGCGGGTAGATCACGAGGTCAGGAGATTGAGACCATCCTGGTCAACAAGGTGAAACTCCGTCTCTACTAAAAGTACAAAAAATTAGCTGGGCATGGTGGCACGTGCCTGTAATCCCAGCTACTCAGGAGGCTGAGGCAGGAGAATTGCCTGAACCCAGGAGGCGGAGGTTGCGGTGAGCCGAGATCGCGCCATTGCACTCCAGCCTGGGTATCAAGAGCGAAACTCCGTCTCAAAAAAAAAAAAAAAAAAAAAAAAAAAAGCACCTCAAATGGTCTCCAGATGACAGTGGGGTTACTGGCTCTGCAATCTTTTGAATTAGCAAATTCATTATGCCATAGTTAAGGTCCAAGCAGAACAATAAAAATAGGTTAATTTTAAGAGTTGTCTTAGAATGATTTCTTTCATATTAAGTCTGGATGCAAACCGCGCAGCCCTTCGGTTCCTGCTGTGGTTTTTTACGACTCGGCAGACTTCAAGTAAATTGAGTTGAAATTCAAAGCTGGTTGATGCAGAAGAAACTTTTTTAGCATGTGTTAAATTGTGCTTTCAAAGACATAAAGAATTGGGAAACATTTCAGGAGATGATCATAGCCTGTATAAATATCAGATTAGAACATACAGATTTACCATGAAATTCTGTCTTCAACACTCATTCTAAAGGGCTACTGTCCCAAGTCCTGTGTGTCCCTTCGGCTTGTCTGATCACCCAATGGAAGTGGATATTCATGAAGTTTACACCGCTGTACTTGGCGTTAAGCCTTGCTGAATTCGTGGTAAGCTGTTACCATTTCTGCATTTTGTAGAATGGTTTTCTTCTGCAGCAGAATTCGATTTCCCTTCTCACACCCCTTTCCTTCCACGTGAAATGCGATTTAGACAGAGGCCCTGTGGTGAAAGTTGCAATATTAAGCTTACCTTTAGAGGAGTCCCTTCTCAAACTCGGAACCCTAGCAGTGTTACCTTCAGTGAAAAAGAGCTTGAGAAAAAGGTAGCTCCATTACAGAGAAGCAAATCAAGTTACTTCCCTTCTAAAAAGTTTCCCAGGCCAGGCGCGGTGACTCATGCCTGTAATCCCAGCACTTTGGGAGGCCGAGGCGGGTGGATTACGAGGTCAAGAGATGGAGACCATCCTGGTCAACACTAAAAATACAAAAAATTAGCTGGGCATGGTGGCGCGTGCCTGTAATCCCAGCTACTCAGGAGGCTGAGGCAGGAGAATTGCCTGAATCCAGGAGGCGGAGGTTGCGGTGAGCCGAGATCGCGCCATTGCACTCCAGCCTGGGTAACAAGAGCGAAACTCCGTCTCAAAAAAAAAAAAAAAAAAAGTTTCCCAGATTCTAGGAATTGCAGTATCTTGTACCCTCAGATTTTTCAGGTGACTCCTTTTGTTGTTTGCTGATAACTTTAATAAAGATAATTTAAGGGCATAAGTTTTTAAGGACTCCCAAAGTGAGACTTAACCATTTTGGGGATTACTGACTGCATACACCAGTTTATATTGTGTGCTGAATTATGCCATGTGTTTGGAGGAAATGAAAAATAAAACTTGTTTTTAGCTTAATAAATGTCTTATTAAAAAAAACAAAAACAAAAAAAGAAAATCAATGTAAGGATAGGTGCTGCATAGGTAAGGAATAAGAAGAAACTCTCCCATGGTAGGTTGGCAAAAGAGTGTTTCAGCAGTGGAATGCCTAAGTGATCCCATTTTAGTGATTTGTTACACACAGGACGTGGCCATCTTATGTGACTCTCAAGACTTCAGGAAGGGTTATTACACCCAGGAATCCTTTTTAAGAGAGGAGAATTGTGAGAGTACATGAACAGGGAGTTGAGCAATGTGCTTTGTTAGGTCTCAACTGAAAAAAGAGACTGGAAGCAGAGGTAACTGTGGCAGCACAAGCCCTTGTGGAACTTGCAAAAACTTGTGTAGGACTTTGCTCTTATGTGAGTTGGGAAATGTGAATACTGAGGTTCAAGCCCACTGCATTTGGATCTTAAAGAGGCAGGGAGTTGGCCAGACATGGTGGCTTACACCTGTAATCCCAGCACTTTAGGAGGCCAAGACTAACCTGGCCAACATAGTGAAACCCCATCTTTACTAAAAACACACACTCCAGCCTAGGTGACAGAGAGAGATAAAAATTTTGCTCACCCTAGGCACAAAGTTCTTCCTTGGTCTCATAAGTTATCACCCACCACTGACCAGATCCCTTTCTGGACCACCTCTGTTAAATGAATTAAATTAAATTAAAATAAGTATAACCACCAGGGCTTTGGGGGCTTCCACCTGTAATTCCAGCACTTTGGGAGATCAAGGAGGGCAAATTGCTTGAGTCCAGGAGTTCAAGACCAGTCTGGACAACATGACAAAACCCCGTTTCTACTAAAAATACAAAAAATTAGCCAGGCGTGGTGGCATATACCTGTGGTCCCAGCTACTCAGGAGGCTGAGGTGGGAGGATAACTTAAACCCAGGAAGTCAAGCCTGCAGTGAGCCTTAATTGTGCCACTTCACTGCAACCTGAGCAACAGAGTGAAACCCTATCTCAAATAAATAAATACATAAGTAAATTAATTAATATAATGTAATATATTTACGTTTTGGAATCAGGCAGTTCTGGGTTCAAATCCAACTTTCACCATTCACTAATTATGTAATTGAATTTCTCTAGACTATAGTTGCTCATCTGTAAAATGAGGATGAGGATTATTTCACTGACTCTGAGAGAGTTAAATTAAAGGTAATAATGTATGTAAAATAGGTGGTGTATACCAGACTATTTAATAACATCAGCTACTTTAAGCATGATAACTAAGTACATTATGCTTGCCAGTAAGTTCACCTTCAAATATGTGTCCAGAGAATGAAGAACAGTTACCAATGGATTAGAATCTATAAAACAAGTCAGAGTAAGCTCAGTGCAGTGGCTCATGCCTGTAATCCCTGCACTTTGGGAGGCTAAGGCAGGGGGATTGCTTGAGCACAAGAGTTTGAGACCATTCTGGGCAACATGGCAAAATCCCATCTCTATAAAATGCAAAAGTTAGCTGGATGTGGTGGTTCATGCCTGTAGTCCAAGCTACTTAGAAGGCTGCAGTGGGAGGATCACCTGAGCCCAGGGAGATTGAGGAGTGATTGCACCATTGCACTCCAGCCTGGGCAACACAGTAAGACCCTCTGTTTCTCAAAAAACACTCTGTTTCTCAGAAGAAAAACAAAAACAAGACGGATGCCTTTCTAATTTTGGAAGAGTGTCTCCTATTGGTCGGTCTTTCCTGGAGGGCTTGCTAAGTAAGGAAGGCTGTTAGGCGAGTCTGCGACCTTTGGCAAAGGTAAGTCTCATACTCCCTCTTGTGTCCAAAATTGGAACTGTACTCTCTCTGGACTAATCGGTAGCCGCGGTGCTGAAATCAACATGGGTATAGTGGCTGAATGGCAGGGAATTAAGGTTTGTTAAGCACCTGCTATGTTCCAGGAAGCTTCTGAGGTATCGTCCATGTATTATAGGCAGATAGGTTCATGTCTCATCAACCATTCAACAGAAGAGAAAACTGAAACTCGCAAGCTTAAATGACTTCTCCAGGTTTTCATGGATTGTAAGATATAAAACAGATCTAAAGGGAAAAACTGGAAAAAATCAGTGATATTGATTGTACTACAGGATAAAATCCAACCTCCTTAGCAAATATGATTAGATTCTTTTATCTTCAACTTTATTTTCAACCACCTAACCCCTTTGGTCCTTGTGCTCTGGCCACACAGAATGACTTAGGGTTCTCAGAAATTGCTTTAAATCTCAGCATTTTTGGCCGGGCAGGGTGGCCCATACCTGTAATCCCAGCACTTTGGGAGGCCGAGGAGGGCAGATCTTCTGAGGTCGGGGGCTCAGGACTGGCCTGACCAACATGGGGAAACCCCATCTTTACTAAAAATACAAAATTATCAGGGCACGCCTGTAATCCCAGCTGCTGGGGAACCTGAGGCAGGAGAATCACTTGAACCCGGGAGGCAGAGGTTGCAGTGAGCTGAGATCTTGCCGTTGCACTTCAGCCTGGGCAACAAGAATGAAATTCTGTCTCAAAAAAAAAAAAAAAAGTCAGCATTTTTGCCCAAGGCTTTATCTCTTTCTTAGGTGACTTCCTTAATTCCCCTCCCTGATCTAGAAAATTCCTTCCTACTCATCCTGCTATCCCATCCACCTTAGGTGGAGATTTAATTTAATCACACCTTCCTTTGTAGTACTTTTGGACCTCAGACATTATTATATACACACATATATATTCAAATAAATACTTTGGGAATGGCTATATATATATATATACCATATATATACACACACACACACACACACACACACACACACACGCCAGGTAGGTTTTTTCTTTCTTTTTTGTTAACAATATGTTTGTTTGTTTGTTTTTTAAGACAGAGTTTTGCCCTGTCACTCAGGCTGGAGTGCAATGACACAATCTTGGTTCACTGCAACCCCTCTGACTCTCCAGTTCAAGTAATTCTCCTGTTTCAGCTTCTTGAGTAGCTGGGATTATAGATACACACTGCCATGCCCAGCTAAATTTTGTAATTTTAGTAGAGACAGAGTTTTGCCATGTACACCAGGCTGGTCTCGAACTCCTGACCTGACCTCAGGTCATCCACCTACCTCGGCCTCCCAAAGTGCTAAGATCACAGGTGTGAGTCACCATGCCCGACCTCTTTTACAGTATCTTAATCACATTCAATATATTCAATGTTGAAGGCACATGAGCCTGGCCAACATGATGAAACCCCATCTCTACTAAAAATACAAAAATTAGCTGGGCGTGGTGGCAGATGCCTATAACCCCAGCTATTTGGGAGGCTGAGGCAGGAGAATCATTTGAAACTGGGAGGCGGAAGTAGCAGTGAGCCAAGATCGTGCCATTGCACTCCAGCCTGGGTGACAAGAGTGAAACTCTGCCTCAAAAAATAAAAAATAGGCCGGGCGCGGTGGCTCAAGCCTGTAATCCCAGCACTTTGGGAGGCCGAGGCGGGTGGATCACGAGGTCGAGAGATCGAGACCATCCCGGTCAACATAGTGAAACCCCGTCTCTACTAAAAATACAAAAAATTAGCTGGGCATAGTGGCACGTGCCTGTAATCCCAGCTACTCGGGAGGCTGAGGCAGAAGAATTGCCTGAACCCAGGAGGTGGAGGTTGCGGTGAGCCGAGATCGCGCCATTGTACTCCAGCCTGGGTAACAAGAGCGAAACTCTGTCTCAAAAAAAAAAAATAAATAAATAAAATAAAAAATAAAAAAAAGTTGTTGGCTAGGTGTGGTGGCTCGTGCCTGTAATCCCAGCAC